TCCTCTGGCTCCTGATAAGCAAATCGGACCTTATATTGTTTCTGTGGACGACCTCTACCTCCTGTTCGAAACACATCTTCACCTACGATGCCGTCGATGTCGTACCTTCCGTCCATATCTGGAGGGATCATGGACCTTCTAGATGGAAACTGCTGACTTGTGACACACGGCAACAACTTTGATGCATGAAATACAGGGTAGGTGTGGAGGTGTGTTGGGATCTCTACTGTGTAGGACGGCCCATCCTCTCCGCCCTTAACTTCTAGAACTGGCCACGATCCTCTATACGCGGGCAGTAACTTATGCGAGATGTTTTCCTTAGGAGCAAACTCTTTGGACTTGACCCAGACTAAGTCGCCTACTTGGAACTGTGACGGGCGACGATGCTTATTAGCCTGTTCTATCATTCGGTGTTGGGCCTTCCTGAGGTTCTCGACAACGGTAGCTAACTCTTTCTCGTGCTGTATCGTGAACTCCCTGGTACCGGGCGGTAGCCTGTGAATCTGGTCCCGGTTAAGCCCCTCAAACGGTCTACGCGGTCTAAAGGACTTGTGCAACTCGTTGGGAGTGCGACAGGTGGACAAGTGCACGATTGCTACAGGATCTTATTCATCTGCTCACTCTGACCGTTAGTCTCTGGGTGACGGCCAGATGACATCAGCAATTTTGACCCATAGACTCTCATCAGTTCCTGCCAGTTCTGACTTGTGACGCGGGTATCTCTATCACTAACAATAGACAACGGGACGTCATGCTCACTAACCCAAAAGTCAAAAAAAATTGAATCACTAACTCGGTGCGTGCCTCGGCAGGCAAAGGAACAAAAACAGCATATTTGTTAAATCTATCAACTATGACCATGACTTGGCTCTTGCTGTGCCTACTCTTGACGCCGGCGTCCATAAAGTCAATGGACACTGAAGCTCCTGGCTGATCAGGAATAGGCAAGGGTCTGAGAAGACCTAGAGGGGCACGGGTAGTGGTCTTATTTCTTTGGCAAACTTTACAATTGCGGACATACTCTATGCAGTCATTCTTCATTCCTGGCCACGTATACGCATGCATCAGGTTGGCTAAGGTCTTTTGCCAACCGAAATGTCCCTCTGTGTCATGGCATTCCCCTAAGATCAAACTGCGGATCTCCTCACTGTTGGGGACGCACAGGCGGTCTACTACATTAGTCTTCTCAAACAACAACCCCTCTGTAGTGCGGTAATCTGGTTCGGTTTCTGGGGCCTCCTTGACTCTCCTGAGGAGGTCACTATAAATAGGGTCCTGCGCATACGCCTGTCTAACTTTCTCCTGCAGGTCACTCCCTATCTCCAGATAGTGAACTATAGCTCCAAAGTAGTCTGATCTCCTACTTAGAGCATCCGCCACTACATGGTACTTGTCTTTCACCGGCTTGAGCTCAAAGTCGTACTGGTCTATATCAGCGGCCCGCCTAGTCAACTTAGGTGTCATTTTGGCCTGTCTTCAACCATCTAAGCGTCTCATGGTCTGAATACACTTTGAAGTGCCTCCCAAGCAGGTAATGCTTCCAGTGCTCCAAGGCCTGCCTGAGAGCGTAGAGTTCCCTCTCATACGTCGAGGTAGCGACCTTCTCTGAGGGCATCCTCGCTGACATGAACTCTATGGGTTTGTAGCCATCGCCGTCGTCTTGCTGTAACACGGCGCCTATACCATACTGACTTGCGTCCGTGGTGACGACAAATGGCAAGGACGGATCTGCTACTTTAAGGATAGGATACTCTATCAATGCGCACTTTAACTTCTTTAGCGCAGACGTACAGTCTTTATCCCACTCCTAGATTGCCTCTTTCTTGAGCAATCTGCGAAGGGAAGCGGCGATAGTCGAGAAGTTCCTCACGAACTTCCTATAATAGTTAGCTAGGCCTAAGAACGACCGCAACTCAGTCAGTGTGCGGGGCGTCGGCCAATCTCTAATCGCCGCATCTTGCTGTCCTCAGGCTTAATGCCATCTCCGTCCAAAACGTGGCCCAAGTACAAGACTTGTGTCTTGGCCCACTCGCACTTCTTCGCGTTGATCTTGAAGTTAGCCTCTCTCAGCTTCTCCAAGACTTGCCTCAAATGACCATGGTGCTCTTGGAGGGTCCTACTAAACACTAGGATGTCGTCTAGGTACACTATAACAAATCTATCTAACCACGGCCTAAACAAATCATTCATACATCGCTGAAATGTAGCTGGCGCATTGGTCAGTCCAAAGGGCATCACTATGAACTCGTAGTGCCCATATCTAGTTCGAAACTCAGTCTTGTACTGGTCATCAGGATGGACCTCTATCTGATGATATCCGAACTTTAAATCGATCTTTAAAAAATATCTACAACCCTGCACCCAATCTAAGAGATCGTCTATCCTGGGCAGTGGCTCAACGTTCTTTATCGTGATCGCATTCAGACCCCTATAGTCTATACACATATGCAATTCTCCTTCCTTTTTGGGAATAAACATACTTGGTGCTCCAAAAAGAGGCGAACTGAGCCTAATCCAACCTTTCTCAAGGAGCTCATCCAACTGCTTGCCCAACTCCTCTAACTCCCTAGGGGACATCCTGTAAACTGCTCCCTTAGGAGTCCTACTGCCAGGTTCTATTTCTATCCTATGCTGGATCGGCCGCGACACTACTCCTGTTGGCGGCTCTACCAAATCCTTAAACTCTTCCAACAACTTAGCAATGGTTGGATCTATGGGACTATCCTCTGCCTTAGGCTCAGTGACAGGTCTGACATAAGCTACGAAGACCTGATCCTCTAACTGCTCCTTTCGCACCAGTTGCGCAAACGCGGGAGCACTGAGACAACAATGTGCCAAGGAGTTATCTACCCCTGACACATGAAACAGACGGGCAATCTTAACCTCGCCTGACGGACTAGGGAGCCTACACTCATGCTCTCTCAAGTGGAGTGTGGCCCCTGCTGCCTCTCCCCAATCCATGCCTAGGACGATGTCAAAAGGAAGGTCATCTTGTACGAGGAGAGTCCGGGAATGGAGAACTTTCTCCACCTTCCCATCTATCTCTATGCGAAAATACGCCTGGACTCCCTCTACGTAGTCCTCAACACGCATAGTGTGCTTGTCTGCGAGGACACTAACTATGGGGTCTTCCAACTTCTGGACTTTTAACCCTAGCCTTAGCTTC